TGGACAGAGACGTTAGACACATCAGCACATATTTAACGGTGTTAGTTTTCGAGGACTAAAACCAAAGTTTCGAAAAGATTGAGGACCAAATTGTACCTTATTTTGAAAGAGGGACGAAAACCAAAAACGACCAATAGTTTAGGGACTAAAAACATATTTAACCCAAAAGAAAAATATGAGCTCACCTTGATACGTGTAAAACAAACAACATTCTGTAAAAGACTAAACTTGAAGAAACGTCAAACTCAAATTAAACTCCTTTTCTATAAATTTCATGTTGGAAAAGCCTTTTGTAAATCTCAAACAATTATACCTTAAGTTTTACATACGTAATTATCTTATTCAAGAGAGTTTTTTAAGTATTTCCTTTATACTACAAATAAGGTTGAGTCATCTTAGATTTAAAATGAGAGCTTTTCATAATTGGTCAATTTGTCCATTATAATTAATTTTTTCTTGTTGATATAAGTTTTCCATAAACCAATTGAACTTCAGGAATCAAATGTTTTTCAATGTAATGGGTTATTTTAAAATTTAAAAAAAATGTATTTTGTTTAATTGTTACGTAATGCACGTAATTTACTAGTTTAGAAAAGCATGTTTTCCATCAAATCCAACAATACACTATGTAATAAATTACATAGATTTTGCAATTCATTATAATATCCATTTGTTTTCCAAAAGCTTAGAACCTACTCTATAGTCGATAATCTCTATGTGTGATTGATTTAACAAGGAATTTACTTTCTTATTAAAAGCAAAACTTGCATGTAATTGGTGGAAAAAAAATGCAATTAATTAATTTATTCAACCACTTTATTTAGTAAAATAATATTTCTTAAATATTTTAAAATGGATAATGATACTTTGACAACATTTTAACATCATCTACGTGTCATTTTGTGATTGGTCCAAAATTACTCCACAATCAATAATAATAATCATGAACACCAACATGGATTAATCACATAATGATATGTAAATGATGTTAAAATGTTATGAACAAAATGTTGTCAAAGTATCATTATCCTTTTAAAATAGGACTAGGGTATGTTTTATTTTTTTTAAAATGTATTGTTTTTAAGTTGTTATCTTTTCTTTCTTTAGGCTTTGTTCACTTAAATGGATTTGGGGGAGAGTGATTAAATGAATTTAAGAGGATTTGAAAATAAATTTTTTTGTTGTTTATTTGAGTGGATTTGGAGGTAGGTGAGAATGAATTTGGAAGTAAATTTTTTTAATCTATCACATCAATCAAATCCTACACTAATTCTCATAAACCATTGTTTTCAAATTCACTCTCAACTTACTTCCAAATTCACTCAAATAAACAACAACAAAAATTGTCTTCAAATTCATTCAATCACTCTCTCCCAAATCTATTCAAGTAAGTATAAAGAAATTTCTAATAACATTTAAAACACTAGAAAAGCCTTAAGATATCTTTTTATCTTGGTTGATTGACACGAAATAAAAATCATTGTCATAATAGTAACAGTTTGACTTGTAAAACATATTTTTCTTCTAATTTCGATTTTAAGGTCATAAAAAGTTCAAGAGATTCAAACCATCAATTTCTTCACAGGAACTTTTCTAGTTATCTTGATTAAAATATAAAAACAACGAAGAGAGTGTTTAAAGAAAAGACTCTGTAATCTATGCCGTAAATACAGATAGTGGGTCCAACCTTTTTAGAAAATATGTGGTAGTAGCCATATCAAGATGGCTTTTACTTCCTGTACCCCCAAAAGTTCTTTTCACACCTACCCAATTTTCAAAACAACAATTTTATCCTTTGTGAATGTGCTTTCCATATTAGTAACTACTGAAGCAAATTCCAATTCAATATTGTTCATTGGAAAATATGGGAAAGACAATGAAATTATTAACTTTTTCTAGGTATTCCTTGACCAAAATTACTGTTGAAGTTGCATTCATGTATTTTAAGTGCATTTTTTAGATTCTCATCTTAATTTGGACACAACTTACTTAAAATATATATAAATGAGAGTCATTATAATGTTTTAAATATCATTACTAAAATTAAAATAATAGGGAAAAGCTATTTGTAGAAATATGTAATTAATTGATCTTTAATTGAAACATTCTTCTTTCTCATTTTCTGTAATTACTTATATAATATCATTCTTTGTGTGATTTTCTAAGCTTGAATGAATATTTAAGGCTTTGTTAACTTGAATGGACTTGGAAAAGAGTGATGGAATGGATTTGAAGGTAATTTTTTTGTTGTTTATTTGAGTGAATTTGAAGGTAAGTGAGAGTGAATTTGGAAGTAAAGTTTGTGAGAATTAGTGTAGGATTTGATTGATGTGACAGATTAAAAACATTTACTTCCAAATTCATTCTCACTTACCTTCAAATCCATTCAAATAAATAACAAAAAATTTACCTTTAAATTCTCTCAAATTCATTCAATCACTCTCTCCAAATTTATTCAAATGAACAAATTGAAATGAAGGCTAAACTCTTCTCATCAAATGCAATTAGAATTCAAATTAAGAAATTTTACATTATATGAATTCTTCAAATTAAGAATAAACCTAGAAATAATTGATGTGTACATAAAAAAAAGACTCTTTTAAGTAAAAAATTTAATATTTTTTTATACCATTCTCACGAACATTATAAAAAAAATCCCAAAAACGCATTTAAAGATTGGTGCTAAATTCTAATGTAAGTTTCATCCTTGAACCTGAATTTCCTAAATAAAAAATCATATGCATAAATTCCTCCCAACATTATTTTTTTTTACGTTGAAATATGGAGGTAATTTAAAGAAACATAATTTTTCATTGAAATTTAAAACAGACGAGATGTCCTTAAAAAAATATAACTACTTTATGATCTTATTTCATTTATATACCTCAACATACAAAAAAACCAGACAGTTTTAGCAAAAAATAGTACATAAATTGATTTATCTTGATAACAAAATTAAATTATTTTATTTTATTTTCTCATTCAATTGTTTATTAAAAGAAATATGCATGAGTTCTATTTATGTGTGGGAAAGTTTAAGACAATTTATTGTAAAAGGTAGAAATAAAATATGCTATTTCATCTATCGATTAGTTTTTTTGTTAATTAAGGAAAACCACAAATTTGAACACAGGTGGCACCAGATTCTTTCAAAGCTTTAGTGGAAAATCATCTTTTTAGAGATTCAATCGATGGAAAATTATGAAAGAAAATTAGAAAAATGATAAAACATTGAAAAGAAAATAGACAACTTGTTTCCAGAATCTTAATCAATTTTTTTCCTATAAAAAGTAAAAACAATGACGAATATTAGACATTTATATACACACAAAATGTAAAAAATAAAAAGTTTATTTTTTTTCTTTCCTTTGTTTCACTGTGTGATATCATCTCAAGAGAGGCTTTCTAGCAGTGGAACTACCTATCCTTTCAACATCTTCAACGCTTCTAGAAGCTTCTACTTCTTCGTGGCCGTCGTTATCGTCATCGTCGCCGCACTCGTACATGGATCCGACGAGAAAAAGTTGATCTTCGAGGTACCGATGCAAGAGGCCCTTCTCCCGCTGCTGCTCCTCGCAGAACCCTTCCTCGCAGCGGCGGAGACGATCGGCGGCGGCGGAGTCGCGGCGGAGGAGCTTCCCCCAGAGGCGGAGGCGGAGGCAGAGCTCGGCTGCGCAGAGGAAGGGGAGGGCGGCGCAGAGGAGAAGGAGGAGAAGCGGGGAGCAGAGGAAGAAGAAAAAGTAGCGGATCCGGCGGCGGCGGAGCCAGGAGGAGGCGGCGACGGCGGCGTTGGTCAGCATATGGGGGGTGGGCGCGGGATCATGGGCGCGGTGGTAGGGTTGAAGAAGCGAGAGGTAAACGACGTCGCTTGTGGTTGGTATATGTGGTGGTCGTGGTTGATGCGATGTGCCCCCACATGGGTTGTGCATGAGATGATGGTGACGATGATGATGGGATGAAAATATGTGAAGTGGAGTTGGAACATGTGATGTTGACTCTGATTCTCCGTGTCATCTTGCTTTCCTGTCCTAAAAGTTTTAACTGTCTTCCTCGAATTTTACTCTCTCTTGGGCCTTTCAAGCCCACCAGGCCCAATTAATCTCATCAAAAGTTACACCTAAAGCTTATTGGTTCATGCAAAATTTACCAAACATACTTTTCTAATTTCCTACAAAGGCCACATTAGATTCTCTCGCTATTCTAATGCTCAAACCAAATCTTTTACTGGATTTTGTGACCACATCCCAATTAAAAAATATGTATTTTTAATTGTTAAATTTAAATTATATGTTTTTAATGAGGTAAATTTCTGAATAAAAACACCACTTAAATGAAGGAGGAATAGTTGGAGAAAGAGTTTGTTGACTTTAATAAGTTCGTGACAAAATTTACGCTTGGAGAGAGAATTTTTTTTAACAGTACAAAAATATATATCATGCAGTATTTGGTATTTTATATATCATGCACTATTTGGTATTTTGTATGGATGTATCTTTTTAAAAAAAAAAAACCATTTGTATGGTATACAATATGGATCCAATTGTTCGATCCATCCACTCAGGGTCGCTTGGTCTATTCGCTAGAGTAACAATGGTCAATCAGATCAAATGATTTTAATGATGATTTTAATGATGTTGAAAAATAATTGAGCTAGCGTTTGTTTAAGTTATTATTGGGGTCAATAGTCTAGTGATAAACAATCAGAAATATCTAATTACATATATTGATAAGTTGTTTATCAGCAACCGACCGAACATAAAGATAAGTTTGTTTTTATTCTATTGCATTTGTGTTAGTTTAAGATTCATGAGATGACATGTAAATATAAGGTCAAGGACAAAAGGCAGGTACGTTCCACTGACATTCTACTTACTTTATCAGAACTCCTGTAATAAATAATTTATTAGGAGTGAATTTTGCAGGTACCTCCCCCTGGTCAAGAGTATAACTAAGCGGAGCAAACGACAGCCGAATGGAGCAGTTGACAAGCGAGCAATCCAAAGTGAAAGCGAGCAGTCCAAATGATCCAAGCGTTCGAAAGTAAGGACGACAGGTCAGAAAGATTAGTCTCTCTCTTACACAAATTCCTAGCGAAACACTATTAGATAATAACTATGTAAAATGCAATAAAATTGTATCATTTTCAGAAGGAATATTAACGAGGTAAGTGGAGGGAACAAAATAAAATTGTTATGCATGTTTTTGAAAGTGGCACCCTCTTACACTGAATCAAGTTCAATTTTGCAGTGCTCGTCCATCCATAAAGCAAGCAAAGGGCTTTTCTTTCTGAACTCCCATAATTTTTAAGTACATCTTAAAATTTTTAAAATAACCATTTTATCTTTCATGAAAGTAACCTCAGATTATCTATTTTGAAAATCTCCCGAATCATATTTACTGTAACTTTCAATTTCTGGAACAATTAGATATGATTTCCTGAACAGTATTTCTAGATACTGAAACAATTTTTTCAGAACAAAATGTGATGTAATGGATTCTAGAATGAACTTTGTCTTTCTTCTTCTTTTTCCTCTACAGTGGAGAACGGAGAAACAACAGTGATAACACAGAGGTGACGTTATACAATGAGGAGGGATATTTTAGTCTTTTTCTTCTTAATATGGGAATGTAGTTAGTAAAAATGGAGGCGCGGGAAAAGAAAGCTCAAGTAAAACAAGTTAGACATGAATACACTTCCTCTCTCTACGTTTCACAGTGTTTCTTTTTTATTTAAAAGGAAGAGTGCACCATTACATTAAAATATATTATTATTTTGTTAGATTAACCAGTGAATGAAATTTAAAAAAAAATAAAATAGAAGATTGAACAGTATTTGTTAGAATAGAAATACAACAGCTTAAAAATTATTCTCAAAAAACATAAGATACCCTCAAAGAGCTGTAATTCTATAAGAAAAACATTATAAAAAGATGTTTGTTCTATATGAATTTGGTCCTATTCTCTGTCATTTGATTTCACTAATCCAAAGTTTGTTATTAACAACTATTCTTTATTGTGGCTTATGATTTATTTTGTTCTTAGTTACCCACGATTTTAGTGTAAGATTATTTCTCAATTATAATTTAACAATAAATTATTATTGATTTTCATATGCAAATATAGTTTTATATGATTCAATTCACAGAATATGCAAATATACATAAAACTATTTATGATATCAGACTCCACACTCCATCTTATACTGAACAAAATGTATTGAACAAGGAAGATTAAAACCAAAAAGATTCATGTTGTTCATGGAGGTTGTAGAAGAGAGGAAAAGGTTTGAAGAGAAAGAGTTTGTATATGGTATTATTGCATGAAAACAATAAGAGAGAATACATTAATCATATGAATACATTAATCATACAATAAGAGAGAATACATTTATAGAACATATGAAAACTGACATAACAGTTTTTTAATCATATTCTACTAAAAAAGAGAGTTTCAAAGATTAAAATAAAAATTCATTAATTTATTTTACACTAATCAAAACCATATATTTTAGTTTTTTTAATTAAAAAACACTTAAAATACAAAATAGAATACTTTTATGCTTAACATCAAAGTAGTTTTGTAAGAAATGATAAAACAATATTAAAAATAAAGAATATTGTATTTATCGTTATGAAAAAGGTTTAGAAAATATATATAACAATTAAGAAAAGGAAAAATATTGTTTATTGGTAAAGCAAGAATACTTGGTTAAATTAATGTACAAATTTAAAAACTCATGTGCATGACACTATTTTCCATACCAAAAAGCTTAATATAAATAAAATTATGTAGAGAATAATTGAGAGGGAGACCAACGAAGTTGTATTAAAATTAGGTTTTCGATAAAACAAAGCAATGCTTAGAAATACAAATATAGAAACTCATGTGCATGGACCTAAAACCCACTACATATTTAATAGTGTGTCAGAAAGTGATCCTAAGGAAAACCTTCCATCTTTCATCAGAAATGGATCACATGGGACCACCCTATCCAATTATTTGATTTTTTTAGCTAAATTTTAAAATAAATAAATAATAAAAAGTTTTTAAGTGGGATTACAGGTTGATTTTGTACTTTATTTATAATTTCATTTTTCTAGAAATCTCTAAATATAAAAAAATTCATCTGTTGTTATTCTCTTTTATTATAATAATGGGGAGAATTTAGATAAAAGTAAGATTGATTTAACAAATGGAAGTTTTTGAACTGATTTTATCACTACATTTTATTATTTATCTGAACTGATTATAAGCAGGACTAATCTTTTGAGGTTGGAAGGGATGGCCTCAAATTTTGAAAATTTATGGAAATTAAATTAAATTTTAATTATTTATAAAACACATATTTAGTGTTAATAAATAATAAAATATAAAACTAAATATAATAAAAAAAATATTAAGATATTTTTTATTTGTATGTTTTCCTTATGTTAGGATGAACATGTTTTTTAAGACATTTGATTATTATGTATTTACTAGAAATTGAACTCATTATGATATGATACATTTTAATTAATAATTGTTAATTATACTAACTTAGCTTGTGGATTGTTCACATATCATATTTTATAGCGAAAAGAGATAATACAAGTACAATTAGTGGCATGTAATAAGATTATGAGTTGNGTATGTGCGATGATCGTATAATTCGTTATACGGGAGCAGATGAAGGAAAGTCGTCTGATTTAGTGCCAATGAAGAAAGAGATAGAAGAATAAATTAGAAGAATTCGAGTTATATTTATGAGTTTGTAGTTGAAATCAGAGTTTAAAACATATATATATATATATATATATATATATATATATCAACTATAAATGTAATGCTACCTTAAATGTAATGATACAATATATGAATTATCGTGTGAGATTATGAGATGTTACCTTAAATATAATGCTACAATATATCAATTATGAATTATCAAGTGTGAGATTATGGAATGTTACATTAATGGTATCAGAGCAACAAATACTACTTGTCATTGTTTTATGGTATCGGTGTAGCGATTCATGGTTGTTTTGAGTGAACTTCAATTCTATAAACATGTTTGATACAGTCTCAACTATTATTGGTCATTGATTTGTTGAATTTATAATTTTTATGGTGTGAATACATGATAGGATTAGGAGTTATAAACGTAAGCTACTGTTGAATAGTGTACTAAATTATATTAGAATAGGTCTTAATATTATAAGTGTAGGTATTAAGTGAATTAATTAATGTATAACTAGGCACGTTAAAATGATTGGTGGTTTAAAAGCAATTTCTTATTGATTCATAATTTAACTCTTTTAGATAAATAAAGCATACTAATAATTCTTTCATAGAGTGGAGAAAAACTAAGTTATTCCAAAAAAAAATGATTTTAAAGAAATCAATCTAAGTGACCTCCTTCCTGTCGATATATTCTTTTTTAATCTAATTATTAATCTTTATTATTCATATTAGATTTTGAAAATACCAATAATGAAAATAGCAAGTAAATTGATATATATATATATATATATATATATATATATATATAACAAAACAATTTTTAAATACTTTATTATAATAATTTCTTTTTGGTTTTTAAGATATAATTATTAATTTTATAAAACTGCTTTCTCTATAAGTTTACTATTCAACCCTACACAAACGCATATAGATCATAGACTAAATGGATCAAATCGTTCTAAAGCTGGTACATAAAGTCAACAAAGCTTAATAACTTTATTAAAAGTATTTAATGTTAGTTAAGAAATAAAATAAAAAACAGAAAAATTTCTTATTGAAATTAAAAAAATGTTATTAAAGCATTCTCGTGTATTTTTCGATGCTGTAATATAAGTTTTAGTAAATTTTTTCATTTATTAAATCCTTAATTTATCTCCTCCACATCATCTAAATAAATTTTGCAAAAGTTTTTTAAGACAATTGGCGAATAGAAACATTTTCTCTCTGTCACGCTTGCACGCACGATTGTAACATATCTTACTAAAATTATTGAACAC